AAACCAAAAGAGGGTTGAAGTTCAACTGCATTTTCAGGAGTACGACACCTGTCTTCGCCCGGCGTCGCAATGCCACCTTGTGACCACCAACCGACGCCATATTCTGTGAGTATGAACAAGTTAGCGCAGTGCAAGGAAATGTTATATTACTTGCAAAGAATTTACTCGTCTTCCTTGATTTTTTCAAAATTCCTTCTGATTGAGAGAATAGCGTGATTGGAGATTCAACATAGACTATGGTTATCAGATTTATTTCTTCTCACTTTGAGTAGATCAATTTAACTAATGGTTAATGATTACAAAGCAAAATATATATGTGTTAAACATTTAAGGTTATATAGCACTATAAAGAGGTGTAATAGTGAAGTGGATAAAAAAAAGGGGGGGGGGGGGTAGCTGATGATTATACGTGCTACACTTCAGAAGGGGTGGAACGTTTAGTCCTTCTGCTGCGGGTAGTGCGGGGAGGGGAGGGGAAGGTGTTGGGGCCGCAGTAGAGATTAGTGTCTGGATTTAGAATGGCAAAAGAATTTGACTGGGGAAGGTAAAAGGTAGTAGTGGGAAAGTAAGACGTAGGAGGGATAAGTATAGGGGAGGATATAGGAATGTCTTGGGAGGGAAGGGGAGGGGCAGAGCGAGCGACATCACTGGAGTAGGGAGCAAGAGAAAAACCTCGCCGACGTGCTTCCTGTCTTGCTTCACGTAGACGGAAGAAAGGAAGTCCAAGTCCAAATCTGAGAGTTGCACCTCAGACTCAAATTTGTAGGTGGGGCAGCCCCTATAAAATACATCATGGGGCCCGCCACAGTTGGCACATGTGCATGACATGCGCAGAGCAGTTTGATCAAGTATGACCAGGTAGGGCACATAGAAGGCATCTGGCTGTGGAACGGCAGTGTTTGGCAGGCTGGCCTACACGCCAACAATTCTGACATTGATGGAAAATGTTGATATGGCTGGACAGGGAGGTGATGTCGACGGAATGTAATGTTGGCAATAATGGTGGGGACTTACGACGGCCTCTAGGGGGAACAATCCAGTTACCACTGACCTCGATGTTTACGTTCCTTCTTTTGTTAACTTGATTTCTTTCACGATTAACCGGCAATAATAAAAATGGTGGCCAAATAACAGATACCACTCCCCCCAAAAAATATACATCATTCCCTAATGGCGAACCAACATACAATCAAAAGGCAAAAGTTCCAACAACGCTAGCCCAACAAACAATAAAACAAAGACATACTGTAATTACAAACAAACGCATTTTATCCAGGGCCCGGCGTATGACCACGTGAGGAAAGTCCGAAGCGACAACCTGAACCCTGCTTTGGTCACACACTTCAAGAAGCCCTTGCTGATCCACAGCGGGCACATGCAGTGGCTGTTCGACCATACAGGCAAGAGATACCTGGACCTATTTGGTGGCATTGTCACTGTCAGCGTTGGCCACTGTCACCCGTAAGTAGTAGAAGGGATGATCCGGTACAAGTGTTTACTGCTATAATACTTGGTGACTAAAATTCTCAGTTCTTAAGGTGATCGTTACAACAGATGCATATAATTACAATAAACTCAATCTCCACTCGTTAATGGCTATTAGATTTTCAATGAGGTAAATTATACTCATTCATGGATATCTTGCAGAAAGGTTGTTGCTGCTGTAACTGATCAGATGAACAAACTCTGGCATACGACCAACATATATCTCCATCCGAAGATCCACGAGTATGCTGAGCGACTTACAGAAACACTGCCTGGGGATCTTAAGGTATGGTGGAAAGTGTTAAAATTACAAAATGAAGTCGCCAATCGTCAGTAAATTAAATACCAGTAGGTCTATGAATGTGCACACTCACTAACACATAATTATTCATTCATTCATTCTTTTTGTGTGTGTGTGTGTGTGTGTGTGTGTGTGTGTGTGTGTGTGTGTGTGTGTGTGTGTGTGTGTGTGTGTGTGTGTGTGTGTGTGTGTGTGTGTGTGCACGCGCGCGTCTTTCTCTCTCTCTCCCATTTATGCACATGTAGATACATCCATACGGGGACACACACACACACACACACACACACACACACACACACACACACACACACACACACACACACACACACACACACACACACACACACACACACTCACACTCACACACATGCACACATACAAAAGCATACATACTCATATACGTACATAAGCGCATGCACACACACACACTCACTCACACTCACACTCACACTCACACTCACACTCACACACACACACACACACTCACACACACACACACACACACACACACACACACACACACACACACACACACACACACACACACACACACACACACACACACACACACACACACACAGCAGTATAGTATATGTTAACCCTATACTTTAAATCATCTTCCAGGTGGTGTACTTCGTCAACAGTGGTTCTGAGGCCAACGACTTAGCAATGCTAATGGCAAGGCTATACACAGGAAATTTTGACATCATATCTCTGAGAAATGCCTACCATGGAGCTTCTCCGTACACTCTGGGACTCACCGCTCATGGAACCTGGAAATTCAACATCGCCAATGGTTTTGGTGTCCATCATGTGAGTGTGTCTAATGATTAGGTAATTCACTTATTTCTGAGGTGATGTATTTACTTAAGATAAATTTGTAAAAGGATATTACACAAATATTTAGTTTACTCTTCCCATTCCTTAAAAAAAATGTATGTATGGGGTAACTTCTCCAATTTAGAATGTGAAATATACACATAATATGACATAATTGAGAACTGCATGTAAATAATTAATTTTTCTCTCCAAAGGCTTCAAATCCTGATCCCTACCAAGGGATATGGGGAGGTTACAGAGACTCCCCAATTCAATCTACAAGAGCAAATGAGAGCACAGTTGTAGATGGTGTCTGTTCCTCAGCAGATAAGTATGTCAGTCAGTTAGAGGAGGTCATCAAATACTCAATCCCAAAGGGAAAAGTAGCAGCTTTCTTTGCAGAATCAATTCAGGTGAGTGGCTAATTGACAGTGTTGTTTAGCATAGCTAGATTTTAACATATTCTGCTAAATGCAAATAATCAGTTTGGATACATAAAATATATACAAAATCTAGGTGGCCTTTAGATATCCAAACCACAATATTAAAATTATCATTAGGTAAAATATAAAATGCATAATATAACAAAATTTACAGTACTTGCAGCTACTGAGGTTACGAATATACATAAATTTTTAATCAGAAGACCGCTTTCTATTTTTAATAATCTATTCTCTAAGGGTGTTGGAGGTGGTGTCCAGTTCCCTCTTGGTTACCTGAAGAAAGCCTTTGATCTGGTGCGGGCAAATGGAGGTGTATGCATCTCTGATGAGGTACGATAAGAGATGGAAAAATTAATGAAGAAAAATACATTCATGGTATTTGGAATATTACCATAACATGAAAATAAAAATAATTATATTGCAAATGTAACAGGAAGAAGAAAATTAAAAGGAATTTTACAATTTTCTTCATTTTCAGGTCCAGTCTGGTTTTGGTCGCACAGGTGAACATTTCTGGGGCTTCGAGGGGCATGGCGTTGTGCCAGACATGGTCACTATGGCAAAGGGTATGGGCAACGGATTTCCTCTTGCAGCTGTTGTAACTACCCCTGCCATTGCCCAAACCATGTCACACGCACTTCACTTCAATACCTTCGGTGGCAACCCCATGGCTTCAGCAGTTGGTCTGTCTGTGTTAGAGGTTAGTGGTCTGTTTGGTCATTTGTGTAATAGATCCTCTTACAAACTCCTTTCATGGTGTCATAATTTTCCTGTGGAGTCAGTCACTTGTGTTCTAAATCAGAAATGTATTAATTTGCCTAATAAAAATGAAATATTTTGAGTTTCTAATGAAAATTCTGTTCCTGTTCTCCTTCTAGACACTGAAAGAAGATAAGACACAAGAGAATTGCAAAGTTGTAGGTACTTACTTCCTCCAAGAACTAGCTAAACTTAGGTAAGGGGTCTGTATGTTTAAGTATACTTCATACACAATGATATAAATATGTGATAAAGCCATCTGTAATAGATTTTCACATAAAAAAAATCTCCAAATAGGAGAAAAAAAATCTAACATAAAACTTTCTTCTCTTAATCAGTACAAATTATGAATAATAATAATAATAATAATAATAATAATAATAATAATAATGATAGTAGAATAACACTAGCATATATTAAAAAAAAAATAAAGCTTTTAAAAATTTTGAGCATATTTATGCATTCATACAAAAAACACTTAATCCTACTTCTAGGGACGAATACCCTTCTGTGGGAGACGTACGAGGGAAGGGCCTGATGATAGCAATGGAAATGGTCTCGGATAAGGATTCACGCACTCCTCTTGCTGCCACAACTATGATGGAGATCTGGGATTCTTGTAAAGAATATGGTGTTATTCTTGGAAGAGGTGGTTTTTATGGAAATGTAAGTGAAAATCTGGAGTTAAATTGCAAATCTTACAGACTGATGTAATATGACATGTGTCCCTTTGTTCTTTTTGATGGGACTACTATTGCAAACTTAGGTGATAATTATTTCTGTGTCAAGGCATATCAGTTGAAAAACTGCTATTTAAATATGTTGTACTTCCTACAAAATGTGGGAAAATATAAAAAACTGACTTGTTAAATACGTTACCTATTTTCCAGTGAAAATATTAATAAAATATTTAATTTCAGGTTTTCAGGATCAAGCCCCCAATGTGCATTACGCAAGCAGATGTTGACTTCACTCTGTCAGTTCTCCGCCACGTCCTTAATGAGACCAAAAACTAAAGAGAGAGACGGTTGAATGTTTGCTAATACTATATACTGCCACGGACCATTAACACAACACACATACACAAAGTGCCAAAGTACAAAAACAGACTAACAGACATTTGCACAAGCACACAGGCAAAAACACCTAGCAATATGGATACAAAAAAAAAAAGGAAAAAGGAAATAAAAACC